AAAAAAAAAAAGAAACGTATAGTGCTACCAGCAGCTGATATATTATGTAGTCACCACAAATGGAGTTTATGCAAAGTTCTTAAGTAAACAGGAAAGTGCATGTGGTGACAGGTTAATCTCAGAATACAAAATTCGGAATCCGGGACAACCTCATCTAGGCGAAAGAAAAAAAAAAACAACTTACAACAAAGGTATTTGCCATAATGTAATAACCAAAATATCACACTGCTTGTTCCTGGTGATGGAATTATAGACTGTTTTCCCTGCTTGTTTTGTACTTTTCTATATTCACTGAATTTTCTTTAAAAAAAAAAAAAAACCTACAAGTATAACTCCTACAGTTAGAAAAATTGTATGTCACAAAATAAACAAAAATAAAACAAAGGAAAAGGATCAACAACAGAAAGTGACTCCTGCCCTGAGAGCATTGTTTGCTTCAAGGGCGAAGCAGCACCGGCAGGAGTTGCTGATACACGTGAAGGGTACCAGTGCACATGCACAATACCAGCCACACCCATCCACCTCGTTCTCTGCCATCGCCCTACACTCAGTTTGTCCACGGAGGTCATCTCCACTCACCATGTGAAGGCTTTATGTGTTTTCCTGCCTTTTCTGCTTTTTCTGGTGCATGCTCCTGGTTCCACTCCTTTCTGATGTGTGCGCCCTCTTCACACAATCTTCTCTGACTTAAAACCAAATTTTTCACTTCCTCTAGAATGCAGGAGGAGAATCATTGACTCAGTCAATCAGAAATACTTACTGAACACCTTCTGTGCATACGGCACTCTCCCAGTGCTGCAGATGGGGCAGTGGACAAGACAGGCAGGACCCCTGTCTTCCAGCAGCAGTTGCCTAGGGGGCTCCTTCAAAATACCAGGTAATTCAAACTTCAACTGGCAATGACTTCTTCCAAATAAGACCATTAAGGATTTGACTTGTGCTGGTCCATTTAATCATCACATTTCACTTGAAGGCACTTCCACTTGCTCTACTTTACAGATGGGGAATATGACACTTAATGGTAACTTTCCTGTGATCACAGAGCTGGCACTTATTAAGCCAGAGCTACCCTCAGGGCTCAGGGCATCGAGCTAAGGAGATGGGTCCTCTGTTTTTCACTTCTATCAATACAGGACTCTGCAGGAACGTAGCAGTAACCAACACATATGGAATAATGAATGAGCAGAGGGAGCGAATGAATGAATGGAGATAATGGAAGCTACGAGAAAGAGGTGAAATGGGGTGCCTGGGTGGCTCAGTTGGTTAAACATCCGACTTCGGCTCAGGCCATGATCCCACCATGGTTGGTGGGTTGGAGTCCCGCATTGGCTCCAGCTCAGAGCCTGGGGCCTGCTTCGGATTCTGTGTCTCCCTCTCTCTCTCTGCCCCTTCCCCCACTCACGCTCTGTCTCTCTCTCTCTCTCTCTCTCTCTCTCTCAAAAATAAATATACATTAAATTTTTTTTTTGGTTTTCACAACAGGGAGACTATTGGCATCTATCAGGTCAAGGTCCCAGGACAGTCCCCACGGAATGATCCGGGCCAAAATGCCAACAGCACCGAGGGCAAGAAACCCCAGATAAAAGTGAAAGATGAACAGTCGGAAATGCCCCTCCCCCCCACCCCATGTCAGACCGGCTCCTCAAGAAGGCAGGCTGGAAACCCAGAGAAAGGAGAGGCTTTCCAGTCACAAACAGAATGGGTTCTGATTGCAGCACTGCCTTGCCCTTCAAGCAGGTGTGGGTCTCCTTTGCTCCCTGTAAAATGGGGACAACTGTACTTGTCTGCAGCCACCACCAACAGTGCTCTAGACCGTACTCCGACCAATCTCAGACGCACACTGCCGCGACGTTTCAAGGTCTCTAAAAACTGGATGCATCTTATGATTACCGCCACAGAGTTTAACTGGTAGCATTTTAGGATGCTAAATGCTTACTTATTTATTTTGATAGAGACAGGGAGCACAAGCAGGGGAGGAGCAGAGAGGGGGGAGAGAGAGAATCCCAGGTTCTGTGCTGCCAGAGCGCAGAGCCCGTTCACAGGGCTCGATCCCACCAACTGTGAGATCACGACCTGGGCCGAAATCAAGAATCAAACGCTTAACCGACTGAGCCACTCAGGCGCCCTAGTTTTTAAATTCTTTATAGACAACACACACCCTCTTTATTGCGGGGTGGGGGGCACTCCCATCATCCTGCCTCAGGGGCATATAACCACCGGAAGTAGTAAGCTGCCCAAGGTCAACATGGAGACAGGTTGAAGTCAGCTATCTGACTTCAAAGCCTGGATCTTTCCACTCTCCTGGCTCTCTCCTTGGAGGTGAGCTCAAAAGGACACTTTCTGGTCCTTGAGAGAATATTCACCCAAGTAAGAATCTAGAAGGTCTATACGAAAATGTTAACATGGTTGTCTCAGGGGTGTGGGACTTTTAGGTTTTCTCTTTTGTTTCTTGGTGTCGTGTGTGTGTGTGTGTGTGTGTGTGTGTGTGTGTGTGTGTGTGTGGTCAGGGAACACCCATTACTTGGCCAGAAGACAGACCAGTGGGGACTGCACAGGTCACGCTGCCTGGGGACAGGAAGTCCAGAAATGCAGCAGAGGTGGAGGTGGGGACCGTGTACATGCAAAACAGATGCTGTCCACCCTCCGACACAGCTCCGCCGGGCAGTACTCCCAAGCTTGTCCACAAAGTAACATGTTCCCCGAAGTAAATGATGGAACACTGGCTTTTATCCTGTAAACACTGAGAAGCCACACGCCTGTAGAAACGTTTCAAATAAAACACAAACACCTGACTTACCAAAAGATCCTGCGTCTTCTGAATATGCAGGAGTCTTTAACCGGTAATACCTGACTTTTCTTGAAACCTTGTCCTTGGTGTCCCAGACCTTCAAGGTGATTTTGTGAACATTTATTTTCTTTAGTAATTCCTTCGTCATGTTGATGTTGAAAGTCTGGGTCCATGACACCCAGATTTTGTCCCCTTCCTGCCACGGCCTCACCGTCTGTGTAAAAGAACACCAAGGGGTTTGAAGCGTGCAAGGCTGGGAGGCTTAGAGCCCACGACTACCCATCCCTGCCAGCCTCGCCCTTCCGGGGACCAGAGCCAGGTGCTGCTCTCCACCTGTCTGCCTTCTGGGCCCGGCCCTCCCCTCCCTCAGCTCCCACCCCACATCAGGAAATGGATGTCCCGGCCTGGGCCCTGTCACACCTCTGGGTTCCTCGGGAACCCAGAATCAAAGCACTTACCTGCAAATAGCACCCTTTCCAGTGACTTCGAAGCACTGACACACAGCCAGGCCTCGGGCAGGAGGGCAGGTGTGTGCGCGGGCAAGCAGGTGTGCACACACATGGGTACCCAAAAAAGAAATCGTAAGAGGGGCAAAAACTTTTAAAACACCAAAGAAGCTACCTGACAAAGAAAGTCAGGTAACTCGTATTATTAGGTCAGTGAGGATTCTCATTCAGTAGGGCTGGGGTGGGAACTTAATATCCTGCATTTCTAGCAAGCTCCAGGGAAGCAAGCACCCTTGGTACAGTATTAGAGTATATGTGAGGTACACACGCATACACACACACACCTTTACTCCTGAATCCAGGAACAATTTGGCCACTGTTGGAAACACCACCATGTCAATCTTTTTAGGCTCTCCATCATCCGGCAGAAGGAAATACTCCATGTGGTAGTAACAGCGAGCCTTGGAAGCATGCTTGTCCATTCGAGAGTGTTTCCTATGTTTTTCAATAAAACATGTATGTTTTCCTCTATGACCTAGGAGACACAATTTCAGGAGTCTTGGTTGAACCTCACACGAGAAAGCAGACCCCACCCCGCAGTGCTCTGGAAGCAAGGAAGAGCCCGAGGCTGTGGGAGGCTGCCCCTGCCCCCGCCCCCACCCCGGCTGCTCGCCCAGCTTGGAGGCTGAGATGCAGATCCGGTCCCCCTGGCCGGTAGAGGAACAGGCTGTGCACCAGTCAGCAGAGTGCAAAAATGCAGTGTGCGACTCTGAAAGGGAGTGTCTCCTTAAATGTTTCACCTGCCTGCTTTGCTCACGGTGGTCTTGGCAGTAAAAAAGTTCGAGTCACCAAGACCGTAGGTCAATTCT